ATCGAATTACAATTCGAAAGTATAAGACATAAATAAATTTCATATTATTCTGATAATAATATATATTTTTCAAGGCATACGGCAATTTCAAATAACGTAATAAGCTACTCGCATTAAGTGGATAATAAAATACCCCACTATATAATTCCATGATTGGTAATAAAATTGCAACTAAACAATGCTTTCCAATATTACACAATCCCAATAAAAATTCGTGAAACAATCTTCTCGATTCGTATTACGCGTGGAACGAATAATAAAATAAAGCGTGTACGAAAAGATTGGCAGATCGGGATCGTGGATGAAGATCGATCGATTGCGGCTGCGAGATCGAGCACGATTTATACACGATCGAATGATTTCGCGCGATGCCTTTCCAATTTCGATCTCTTGACTTTTTACGAATCGGTACACAAGAGAAAGGTGATACCTTTCTAAAAATCGATGGTCTCGGATGAAAATCGATCGCGCGAAAACCGGAAGTGAAAATCGTATCGCATCGATCCCGCCACGCCAAGTCGTTCCACTGTTTTTTTTTTTTTTTTTTGTTACCTTTCTCCTCTGTTAATTATTGGCTCGACGATGGAAGGGAAATAACATCGATATTATTAATTAGGAGAGGATGGGGAGGGATGTCTGAAAATTGTGACGTTGTAAAGTAACGTTGCGAGTTTGCTTATGAAGAAAGATTCGTGTCAAGGAAAGTTGGAAGATGATAGAAGATGTGGGGATGTGGAGAAGAAAATTTTTATTTCCCGTTTGATAGGTACTTTGAATTTTTATAGAATTTGTTTGTATTTATGTATACAACTTTCCTCTCCTTTCGTCTCTTTACTGCGATTAATAATATATAAAGAACATATAAAAAACGTAGGAACATTTTTAAAAATCAAATTAAATTATCTAATATCTTTTTCTAAATTCTAAAATTAATTTTTTCTTACTTTTTTTCTTTTATCATTATTATTATTTTCTTATATTCAAAATCTCGAAATTTCGTGTTATAATATAGAAATTCTAAAAATTCGTCGATACATTTCATAAGATACAACGAAATGTAAGACGAATAAAATATACATCTTCCGTCTTTTCGCGACAAAAATTCATGACTTTTCATCATCGTTCGTTCAATTCAAGGCAAGAAGGTAATTTTCACTTTTTCTTCCTCTCCTCCTCCTTCTCTTATTCCCCTTTGCTCGACAAATTTCTCGATTATTAAAAATTTAGCACCGCGATAAATCTGCTTAAAGAAAATTGGATCAGTTTAAAGACAGCTCGGGCAGAAATCCATGGACGATCCTTGAAAAGGAGAGGAAGAAAGAGTGCAAGAAGACTTTCTTTTCTTGGGTGTCGTTTCGGTTTCAGATAGCCGTTTGTTCTAGCCAATACTGATACCGTTTTCTGGGTCGTGCCTCTCACTCGGTCTATACACTCGGTGCTCTTGGCAAAAGTGACTATTGAATTTGCAACCCGCCACCTTATGCGGTGAACGGGCTATCGATTCCGGATCGAATTTGTTTCTGACCTCGACAAGGATACCGGGGATCTAGTTGCGTTCGACGCCCTTTACCAAACAAACAATTTTTAACGATGGAGAAATTATATGGAATCCAACGCGTGATTTTCGCGATTTTCTCTTCGATAATGTCGAACGAACGAGATCGAATCGAGAGAGAAGAGAAAGAAAAAAAAAAGAAAGGGTTGGAACATGTTAAAGCTTTTTCGAGGAGGAGATTCGTTTTAACGAGAGATTGGAATTTATGTAAAAATTAATTTTGATTGGAAGAATTTTTGATTAAAGGCATGGCAGGGATGCAAATAATATTTTAGAAGCAATTACCTCGAGCTGCACGCCAAAGAGATCTCGCGATCTGCCGGGTCTCGAGGTTTCCAGCTCCTGCATTTCGGCCTCTCTCTCCGCCAGTCCCATTTCTTCTAGATATCTGAAACGTAAAAAGGGGGAAAAAACGATATTCAAATTTAATAGGTATTCCTACAGGAAATTTCTTTCGTCTTAAAAAATTTCTTTGAAAAAAGTGCAATTTTGTGAAAAATCTCTTTCAAGATTGCAATTTCCTACGTAAATTTCTTTCAAAGTTGCAATCTCTCCCCTTCAAAGTTACAATTTCCTCTCTTTCGAGATTCCAATTTAATTTTATTCCCAACACATTATTTGCATAGATCAACAAAAATATCTTGTTAAACATGTAAATATAATAATTTCATTTAAAATTGCAATTTACTTTTATCCCAATGCATTAAAAACGTAAATCGAACAATTATCACCGTATTGTTATTAAATGCAGAATGTATAAAATGCGTAAATGTAAAGTCGTTGACAGGCGATGTAAAAGAAATTGAAAGGTAATTAATTCTGATGGATACGTCTTACGAAACATATCTGGTAACAGGTAAAAAGCTCAAACATAGATTAAATCTATGTTTGGTCTTGTAAAATGCATAACAGAACAAATAAATCCGTAGATCTGTTGCCACTTCACCGGTTAGATTGAGATTCAATCGATCTCTCGAGATTGCCTCTCCTATTAACAAACAAGTGTATTTAATATTACGTAACGTACCGCGATATGTCAATAAGAAATAAACAATATCAATTAGAATCGCGGAGTAAGTTTTGTTTTCAAATCGATTTGTTCGATTATAAATTGAATTAAACGAAGTTTATTCATAATCAAGATTATTAATTCGAATTTTATTTATAATTACGATTAAGTCTATCATATAAAATAATATCCTAATATTTTAAATAAACCAAAGTTGACTGATTGAGCTTTAACCAGGTTTAATTTAGTTAATATTAATCCCAGCAAAAAAGCACCAAACAAAAAGAGAGTTTCGTACGCATTGTTCTCTAGAATGGCCGTAAAGAGCCATTAAACACGAAGAACAGTTTCCAATACTTGCAATTAAACGTCTCTAAACGTTACGCCAACAAATCAACTTCCTCCTTCCTTCCTTTCTTCTCCCCCCTTCTTCCCTTATCCCTCTTTTCTTCCTTTCCTTTTTTTCTTCTTTCTTCTCCTTTTTCATTTCGTTACGAGGACCGTGCTTAATCCAATTAGAAGAAGATTGCCGCGCGAAAACGCAACAACACAATGGCGCCTCGTCGAAACAATGGACGCGGTTGGAAGTTCTCTCAGTACACGCGCATCGACCTTAACGATACCGCCGACAGCGTGATTATTCGGTAATTATTCGTAATTAATCTCGGGTTGACGTTCGAACTGTTACGATTGCCCTGCATCGCTTCCATGAATTATTTTAATTGCGATTAAATCGATCGTATATTCGGAGAACACGTCCTTCCGAGTTGTGGGAATCGAGTGGATCTTCGAATAACCTTCGAGATGGAATTTTAACGAGGAAACGAAGATTTAATGATCGCAATTGTAGAAAGATTGCACGGAACGTTTAGATATATGCATAATTGGATTTTTCTTATTGTTGGTGAAATGTTCGATAAATATATATTAGAAAAAATTCTGTCTCGGACACGTTTACTTTTGCTATTGCTTTGGGATGAATGATTGGGAGAAAAATTCTTGTTAATGTTACTTTGACACTAATGTCGTTTTTATTTCTAAAATTTATATATATATAACATTAAATACCAATTTTTATTTCTCTTCTCTTTTCAAATCCATTCATTTCTTTTCATTTTGCCACTTTTTCATTGCATGCCTCAAACGTTGGCACATAAATGAATCTAATAAAAATAAACGATTACAACTCCGTAGTACTAACGACTGTATTTCGTGTATGAAAACATGAAAATGTCAAGCTGTCGTTATCGAAAAACCTTCACCACGTCATAGCACCGCGTCAACGATTGCGTTACAACCTCCGCTAGATACCGGCAATTAGATATATATTATTTTTTTTTTTCTTTTTTTCCTTTCCACGAAAGTTTCATTAGCTATTTATCATTTCGTGCTCGATCATATTCCAACCGGTGGAATAAAACCAGCTTAATCGCCAGCGAACCATCTATCCGAGGCATTAGCCTTGCCCCTCATCTAACGCGCGATCCGCTTATTATATTGAAATGATGCGAGCCGCAACGCGATTTTCCACCATCCTGGCCAAGCTCGCATCCGATGAAAACGATATTTTGCAACCGAGGATCGAGCGAACTTTCACAAGAATCCACTCGATATTTCATCGGGTTTACCCCGCTGGAAAATTCGTATGTTCGAAAGTGAATTAGCGAGCGATGACGTTGCGAAAGTTTGATGTAGAATTTCGTAAAGGAAGAAGAAACATCGCTTCCTGGATGCACCCCGTCGCGGAAAGATGGAAGGATATTGGGGAAATAGAGCATGGGTTCATTCGAATTACGAGTTTGGGCTTCGACTTTAATTTTCCTCCATCGTTTTATACAACTTCTTCGTTAAAAAATCTCTCGATTATATACCTCTCTAAAAGTTCTATAAAAAAAATCATAAATCGTTACATTCGATTATGAAATAACTTCGAAAAATAGCAAACGTGTTTCACGTGCTTGCATTTCCTCCAATTTTCAAGGAAATACACTTTCGAGCGTCATGGAAGGAAGAATTTCAGAAATATCTAGATAGAGGAGGCTCTGTTCCAAGGGATAGACTCTCCGTGCATGGAACACGGATTAGAGGCGGAAGCGGAGGTGGCAAGTATATAACGGGATCACCGATACGGATCATTAGCACCGATGCGCCTTCGACCGAACTCGAGCACGAAATCGGCCGGGTCGCGACCGATCTGGAAGGCACGAAGGAGCGAGCTGCATCACCGTGGCGAACGGAATTTTTCCGTTCGTTTTCTATGCAGTGACTCACCGCCGCTGTTGCGAGATTCAGCCGGCGACCGGAATTGCGGCAGAATCGCGAACTCGGCGCGTTGAACCGATTTACCGAGATTCCCGGACTTGCTTTTGCAACTTGTCTTTCTTCTCTCGGTTGTTGATGTTGCTACTGTACGTGAATCATCATCGGTTGGTCGCGATAATTTGAACGAGATCTAGGTTAGATAGAAAAGTTAACAATAACACGATAATATTAATGGTATTTTAATTAATTTAACCGGACGTTAATGAAGGTTGATAATCGTCGAGGCAATTACTCGAAGGTCGCGTACAATTATAGTAACTGAATAATACAGTAGGCTTGTAATTATAGATTTATAATGGTAATTTTGTGCGCGAGTGATTGCAATTAATTAATTGCGACCAAAACAGGGATGAACGGATCCTTGTTGAATATGGTGATATAGTGAAAATTAGGTTTTCCATTAGGAAAATTGCGCGAAGCAATTCTTTGAGTTTGGCTAAACTCTTGTATATTTTGTGACTTTTTAGTTTTAGCAGTATTCGCAGTTAAAGAGAAAGTATATAGGCTTCATAAGAAATATAGAAATGAGGATTTGTTAGAGGAATATAATGTGAAATAACGACGTGATTCAGTTGACTTTGCGATATCAGGGTTGTTCTGTTCTCCTTTTTCTTTAGCCTTTCTAGGTACAGGCAAGGTGAGTTTGCTCACTGGAACGCGAAACTGCGCTGCAAATTATGAGACACTGAATCGTGTATTGTCCTATTTTAACATTTTCAGCTACCTGTGTTCAACAATATTCGCTTTATTAACAACTTAAAATCCTCCGCAAAATTGATACTCACAAAACGCGAGAGACGACGCTTTTTAATAATCGAATTCGTTCATACTTTTCGAAATATTTTTCACAAAAAAGAATCCATTTAAATTATTCCAGAATTCCTCTATTTAATCGGAAAATTATGTCAAAAAAAAGTATCCTTCAACATTAACTCATATCTAATTAATCCACCAAGCCGCTAATTGTCCTCCCTTCTATCATCAACTATTTCTCCTTCAACCAACACTTCACCAACTATATATACACAACAAAATAATTCCTCGCATTCTCTTCAATCTCGCCATTCCACTCCATCACCAACATACGAAACATTAACAAATCGAGAATCCGTCGCTCTCCAAGAATCAATCCCTCCTTTTTTCCCATCAATCAAACTCGCATCAGGACATCGTTCAGGACACACCCATTCTCGACACGACCGCCACCCATTCGTCACATTCGTTCCTTTTTTTCCTCCCTTTCCAGAAGGGGGTTGGAGCAGGCAACGTTGACGCGTGGATTCAAAACAACGCGTTGCCACGACACTCCGGAAACAAAAAGGCCTGGTTATCGATTACAGGAAAAATTCTTTGTCATCAACGTGTCCATACGTATGCGCGTCTAATATCAGGACGTCGTACACCTTTTCTTATCACGGCCACCAACCGAGCTGATGTTGGTGGTGGTAGATCGAACAAAGTCGACGTTACTTAGTTGGAACATCGATCCTCTCCTCTCAACTCTGAGGATAATAATTAAAGTTCCAACGTCGGTGGCTGGTTTCGAACGCACCACCCTCCCCTCTGCGCTTCTTCCCACCTCTCGCCGTGTAAACAGACCACGAACCACGCGTTTCAAGCCGCCCACGATGGATAAATAATAAGCGGCAATAACAACCTGCCAGGTAGAGCGCGGCTCGCGCGTTATTACGAGCCAACTGTATCTAACAGCAGGATCTCGACGAGCTCTATCGCGCCACCCTCGTTTCGTTTCGTTTCGCTCACTTATCAACCTTTACCACGTGGAGAAACTCGAGGAGCCGCGTTTGTTTTTACGGCCGAGAAGGGAGGGAAATTTGGACGGGGTTTCCACCATCTTTTCTTTCCTTTTTCTTCGTTTTTATCCATGATTTCGTTGCCTCGTCCTTTTTTCCCTTCACATTATTTCGTTGCTTCTTTTTATTTTATCGGTTATTCTCTTTCGTTCATTTAACGAAAGAAGGAGGAGATTCATGACGGAGAAGATGTGGATTTGATCAAGATGAAAAGTTACAAAAGATTCTTGTACGAGGAAAATTT